CTGGGTGTATTTGTGTCCTGTGGCAGGCGGCTGCCCCCGAGCTGTAGGAGACTGTGGCGTAGAGCAGATGGCCCCCCTCGCTGGTGTGTGGGTCTCCAGCCTGGATGGAGGGGCTGCTGACACTGTAGATGTTCTCCTCATGCTGATTGATTCTCCATGCAGAGACATCATCCTGCAGACAGGAAGTGATTGAGCTATGTAACATGGATTTAACCATCTGAATCTGGATTAGAACTGGGGACCAGTGTGTGTGGGCATTTGGGCCTCTCTCTCTGGTTACTGCAGTGTGCATGCTGTCAGATGGACATGAATGATGGGTGCAATTCTTTTACCCAGTCCCAGCTGTGATTCTCAGTGTATATGTTGCTAAGCTGCTGTTTTGAATAAAGGCCTTGTAAACTCAAACATGCACATAACACATAGAAAGATTTCCCATCATATTGTGCTGCTTGTCCCAATGTTGCTGGAACAAATACACAATGAGCATTAGCTCTTACAAACCATACCAGCATAAATAACACAATGCAGGCTGATAATTTGTTTCCATTTTCTCTGACTGCACGTCAGATAATGATTGGTTAGATAATATTATTGCAGAGCCATACTTCAGATCACTTACTTTTTGCTATATTGTGTTGTGGTAGTGGGAACGGGGCAGGACCCAATAAAGATGTCTGGAGACCGGAGAGTAGCTTCAAAGAATTCTTTATTTCATGCATGGAGAGAAGTCATGCACAGCTTGCAGTTGCACAGAGTTCTCCGATTAACTGATAAAGGGGCAGTCCCTTTATACCAAAGTGATACAATACACATCTATAAAACTCATACCATTATCTCATATCTAACAACTCGCATACCTTCTCCAGCTGCCTTTGCAACATCATAAGTACAACGAGACCTTGAAACTTGGTGAGATCTCCACACTCCCTTTTCTCCTTACAATACACATTCATGGTGTACTGGAAATGAATTTTACTTGCAATACTCTAACTATGCAAACTCAACTGATAAGATGTTCAAAATTAATTAAAGCTAACTGATAAGCAGTGCAAAAATGATTACAGGTCCTGGGACCATTGGATTTGCAAGTTTCACATTGTGTCCTAAAAAAAAAAACGAAATCATCAGTTTCTGTGTGAAGTGACCTTTTAACATTATGATGTACCAATGTCTGCTATGCTGACATCCACAGTGTCTATGTTTCCTGAGTCTAAAGTACAAAACCATTAGAAGGCTGAGCAGTAGTGCAGCAGCAGACACAGCCAAGTAGAGCTCCTTTCCTGCCAGTGATGGTGCCACTAGAGTGAAGCAAAATACCACATGCTCAAGGCAAATAATGTAAATAGATTTTTTTTTTTTTTAATAGAGCAATCATAATCATAAACCTCTTTATTTGCTTGCCTCTGGAGTTTTACTTAACAGAAATGTTTATTATAAAGAGAAAACATCCAAAACACTCCATCATAACTGAGGAGCAACCTGAACTGTGTTTATGACAGAGGGGGCAACACATTGCATTCAATATCTGCTTTACCAGTGGAGGGATTCTGGATAATATTTGCCACCATTTATATTATTATTGTAACGTTTCTGCTCCCCTTTGTCATTGTGAAGGTGTTGGACTACCATAACAAAACTACTATTTACAGTGCTTCATTTTTGCACATTTACAGTCCTGGAGTTGTTATTTAAATTGAAAATATGTTAATATAATAAACTATTGGTCCATTATTAAGCTGGACAGCAGCTGCTCTGAGCAATAGTTCTCATGACCCTTGTGCTCATTCACAGTGAAACACTGATACAAATGACTTCACAGGATTTTGTGTCTATGAATGTGGGTCTCAGGAGGATGAGATACTGAAAGATAGTCACATGGAATGAAACTCGGTTCATCTGAGCTTACTTCCTGACCATTGTTTACCCCAGATTTCAAGCATCCCCTTATCTCTTCTTGGGATCTTCTTTGTCTCAAGCTGTCGAAACAGGCTGGAGTGCACCGCTACATGCATGTGTTGGTGCAGATGTAAATGACTCAGTATTCCACCATTACAAGCTCCATTTAGCCTCCGTGTATGTTCAGACATTTAACATCCATTCCTTGACAGACTATGTTGCCAGTTGCCTTAATATTTCATCCATGTTTCGCTGCCTCTGCCTGTTTAAGTCTGTTGTGTCAGTTTATGTTTTACCATGGCACTTTAAGAACCTCCAGAGTTCACTGACACAGTGACAACAGGTCCTGCAGTGAACACACCCTCTTACTGCAATATAATATAATGTATGTGAAGGCACAAAATAGCATTTCCTGCTTTGACCTCTTTCTCCCATTTAAAATGTTTGCTAAATGTGCAGCACTGCACAGGGTGATCAGATAAGAAGAAATGGCATTGCACTGATTCAGTGATTTGTACACAGAGTAATAACCAATTGCAGACTGAGATTTCACTTATGTATGAAAACTTAGCAGGCTGAGCACTGGAACTGGTGTGATGCCTAAGCCAAAGCAGGCGTAAAATACTGGTTTGCTATAACATTTTATTAGAATTTCTACTTCAGCGTCTGTTTAATGAAACGCTGAAATTATTGTGTGTGTGAAATGATCAGCCTTTCTGTACAATGACACATCAGCTACACTGACTGTACCGTTCAGGTGGAGCTGGCCTCACCCTGAAGACTGCTGCTGTGCGCCACATGTTTACAACAGCTGGAATCTGTGTGTCACATAGCACACCTGTCTCACATGTAGAAAGCACCTGAGGTCAGTATCGATAGGAAATCACTGATCCTGTTGCAATGTTAGGACATTTATAGACTAATCAATGATGTTACTGCAGCTGTGCCACGTGCGTAAAATACGCACAACGCCAGCACACTGGCGATATATGTGTGTATATATGTATACATATATATCCCGCAAAAACCCGCATAACTTGTGTGAACTTATGGGCGAGACTCACTAATCTTACTCAGCGCACACTGAAGTCATCGCATACAATGTGACGGGCCTGTAATAGATGTGAGAACAAAACGAAAGAGACAAAACCCAAAACACGGATCCGATGTTGTGTCGTTTTGTTTGGTGTTGTTCACATCTCAGAAAATTGCATCAATTAATTAAGTCATTAATTATTAGTTAATGTTGCGATGTTTATGAACCAGTGTCTGTGCTGAGTTGCAGACTTGTCGTTCAGATGTCCTCCTGTGCGCAGAGACGGCCTTTAAATCCTTTTCAGCCACAGGTGTAAGATAAGGTTTCATCCAGGTCGGACCCCAAAAGCTCTGAGGTCAGGTCTATATCTAACTATGAAGGAATGTTTAGCTCTGACTGTGTTTTCAGTCATATTGTGTAGTGTTA